CTGTGTGATAAAAGTGAACATTTTAGAGTGGCCTTTTATTGTGGCCAGCCTAAGGCACACCTGTGCAATATTCATGCTGTCTAATCAGCATCTTGATATGCCACACCTGTGAGGTAGGATGGATTATCTTGGCAAAGGAGAAGTGCTCACTAAGACAGATTTAGACAGATTTGTGAACAATATTTGAGGGGAAATGGTCTTTTGTGTGTATAGAAAATGTTTTAGATCTTTGAGTTCAGCTCATGAAAAATGGGAGCAAAAACAAAAGTGTTGCGTTTATATTTTTGTTCAGTGTATATACAAGCTTGGTGTGTATGTGTGTGTGTGTGTGTGTGTGTGTGTGAGAGAGAGAGAAAAGAAAAAGACAAAGGCGGGTGTGGTGATCAAGTAGCCGTTTGGCCTACAAAACAAAATGGCTGACAACAGCGAACTACCAAAATGGCCAAATCAAGGCTGGCTTCCGGTCGGGGGAGGTGTTTGTCTGACCGTGTGGTCAGGACAAAGACAAAGGAAAAGAAGCGGGAACTTTGAAATGCCTGTTTGGATGTAGCTCTGTTGAAAGCCTATTTGTTAATGAGTCTATGTCAATGTGACTTGTGTTGCAAACGGTCTGAATTAGTGCAAAGATTGTTTAGTTGCATGCAAGAATCTGTTTGTGAACAGTATTAGCAAACTAAACACTTAGCTGTGGCGAAGCCAAGTAATCAATGACCTAACTGCAATCTATCACAACAATAACTCAGTAAACAGCATCAAATCACGTACAACAAGTTAAACAGTCTTGCTCAGCCTGTAAAGCTGTGATAAGCTATGCCCAGCTGTCACATTACCGATCCTTGAATGGATGGAGGAAAGAGTTACTCGGTGGTGTACTGCTGTTAGCCGGCAGAAGAAGGCTGGGAAGATGGTTCCAGCTGCAGTCTTCGTTGGGTCCTTCATTCTAAAGGTTCTGATCCGAGGAAGCTGGTCACTCGGGGTCCTTGCAGAGTTAGACGCTGGGTGCTAACTCACTTAGTTCCTTGTTGCTGGTTGCAAACCTTGTGTTCGCAGGAGAGTCTGTGATCAATTGCCCTCCTTTTAGTGGTTTGGGCTATAGAGCCAGGGTTTGGGCCTTTGCTGTTCCAGGCCCAACCGGGGAGAGGTGTGAGCTGCTGAAGTAGCTGGAGCAAGAAGAAAGAGATCTGTGAAAGGGAGCAGATCTTGTACAGATGCCTGTGACATCACAGAGTCACATGTCACTGTAAAAGGTCTTGTCCAATCAAGTTTTGGGACTTGAGTCTCACTGAGGTGTGAGGTGAGACCTCCTGTGGAGATGGGTGTCACCTAGTTCTCTTTGTTTGAAGACAAAGAGCATGCAGAGGAAAAAGCCTTGAAATCAGTGATGATTTTACCAAATGATAAATCATCTGTGGTCCTGTGAATCCCAACAGAAGGATGGCAGTAAAGATGCCCGCACAGCATAGCTAGACAGGTACAAAAAAGGTACACAAGCTGAGATCAAGGCAAAAAGTCAATACATTTACAATATGAGAGTCAAGGACTGAAATGTTTGCTGCTGTTTTAAATAACTTTTTTTTTTTTTTTGGACTTTAAGCACCCTTCTTTTTGTGCACAGATGTTCTAAATTAATTGATTTTTATTTTTATTTTTTGCATTGATCTCAACCTGCAAACCTTTTCTGTGGCTGTCCAGCCCATTGTTTTGGTGTGCTGGTATCATCTTTGCCATCCTTTCTTATCTCGAGAATTGCCCAAGTTACCCATGTGACACTGGAGCAATTAAAGGAACCATAATGATGAGCCATTCCCAGTACCTGGACTTTACTGGGACTTAAAGAAATTGCAGTCTGAAGTTTCTGGCTTTCTCAGAGGGAGATAAAAAGTCATTGCTTACCACTCAAGATTGGGAAGAAAAAAAATCAATAATGTCGGAACTATTCCAGGCTTTTCAAAGCTATAACGTGGCAACTCGAAGTGACAAGGGAGGTCACATGGAAGAAAAAATCCAAACAGGCTGGAAATAATTGTGCAGACTGTGTCTTCACCAGGCTTCATTCTTCTCAGGAGATTGTCATTTTCAAACATTTCTTAAATAAATAAGTTAGTGTGTAAGTTTAATTCCTTAAACTTTTTGTTTTATTTTTGATCACAAAGATCGTTATATATAATTGAACATTTGAGCACTTAAAAGGTCTTTGGTAGACCCTTTAATGGGGTCAAGTACAAGAATTTACTTACTGACTCAAATCACTGACAATGCAAGTTAAATGCATGTTAAATAAGTGTAATTGTATAATTAAAACACATTTCAACGTGTCATCTAATTTCACTTCTGCACACAATTTGACCAATATTTGAATAAAGCAGCCCTCAAGATTTAATGAATAAATGAAGAAAAAATATTTGTTCACTACTGACAGGGCCCACTTGTGGAAATCAGAATCAGAAAGCTTTATTGTCTGTTGTGACAGAAAATCGTCTTAGACATTGCTTATACAACAAACAACACAACACAGAAACACACAATTCCTAAAAACCTAGTGAGATAAAAGAATACTGAAGCAAAAATAATTTATACAGAGTTTAAGAAAAACTCTAAAATGTGCAATGTGGTAAAGTGCATGTGCTGGGGATCATTTATGAGCTATTGTTTGTTTAAAATGTTTATGGCAGTGGGGATAAAAGAGTTGCAGTAAGTGTTTTTCTTGGACAGGGGGACTTTATAGCGGCGACCTGATTGTAGGAGCTGGAAGGACTTGCGCAGGGGGTGCGTGGGATCTGCTGTGATGAGGTTGGCTTTCCGTGTGACTGCTTGGGTATAAAGTTCTGGTAATGGAGTCTGAGTTTTGCCAGTTATTTTACTTGCTTGGTTGATGATCAGGGAAAGCTTTGATTTGTTCTTGACAGAGATGGAGCTGAACCAGGATGTGATGTTGAAAGTGAGGACCGATTCAATGAGTGACTTGTAAACAGCTGTTAAAATGTCCTTCCTCACATCAAAGCTCCTGAGCTTCCTCAGCAGGAACAGGCGTTGTTGTGCCTTCTTAAAGACAGAGTCAGTGTGCTGGGAGAAGGACAGCAGGTTGTCTACCATTATGCCCAGGTATTTGAATGCCTCTACCTGCTCCACTGCCTGTCCCTGCAGCTTCAGGGGCTCAAAAAGAGGGTGGGTAAGATCCGGTGCTCGCCTTCCTGCACAGCATAGTTCCTTTGTCTCGGAGATGTTAAGTTCCAATTGGAGCTCTCCTTAATGCAGGACATCAGGGTGTCCACCTGCTGGTGGTATGCAGACAAAGAGTTCCCATCCTTAATGTGGGCCACCAAGGCCATATCATCCACAATGTGGTCCTCCTGCCCATATGTCCTGACAGCTGGCCCAGTTACAGCACATGTGGTATGAAAAACAACTTTATTGACCGACGCGTTTCGGCTTGTGGCCTTCATCAAGGTCATCAAGAAACATATTGCACACATCATTTAAATAGGTTCATTTGAAATTGAAAGAGCAGAAAAAAATGCATGCATGTGACCAATTCTATGCATCCACATATATATATCTCAGCCAATGAATCACTTGACCAATCCGAAACGCGTTGGTCAATGAAGTTGTTTTTCATACCACAAGTGTTGCTGGAGCTCTTTTGACATTTTCCAGTGTTTCCTCACTCTCCATGCACCTTGTGAATCGGTGAAGTTGTACCAGAAACCACTTTCTACTTCCAGTTACAGCACATGCCATTTAACCACAGTGCTTGTTGCATATCATACCCCCCACTGTATTTATCCACTGTCCTCTGTCAAATAAAAGTGAAAAATGCCCCAAAGATAACCTTAAAAAATAATGAAGAAAATAAAAACAATTGTTCTACACAAGTTTTTATATGTTTCTGCCCTCATTTGTTTTTTTGTATCACCTCTTAAACAGAAAGTTCTAAAAATCCTCTTCCGTAAAGCTATATCAATGTAGATCCTTTTGGTGTGAGTGGCCGAGTGTTGACACATAGGGTACGTCCCAAGTCTCTTATTTTATACTGCTAACTCCTAACTCCTTACTTGAACCGGAAGTCGTTCGAGGTCCGCCATCTTTAAGGCCGTCTCATGTCTCTTATTCCTGCCAGTAAGGAGCTAGCATTAGGAGTTAGGAGGGATCTGTTAGTTGCGATGAGTAAGGTAACATGAGTGGTTCCTAACAGGAAGTCTTTTTCAGCTTGAGGCCCTGACGTATAAATACCCGCCCTCTACATCTGGCTCATTTGAACGAGATGGCGGAGAAACAGCGCAAGTGTACCTGTTACATGCATTCTTTGCAATGAAACGCTGTAATTCACATGCCTACGTGACTACAAAGAGTAACGTTAATGATATTTCGTGCAAGACTGTCATGTTGTAATTAAGTTTATTTCATTCACAACCCGTTGCGTTGTTCAGCGGACTGTCGGTGATGTGTGGCTGTTAAATGTGCAGCTGCTCATGTTCAGAACCACACGTGTTGATATAACACCACGCACGCACACACACACACACACACACACACACACACACACACACACAAACACACAAACACATTTGCCCATCATTAATTGTCCTGCATGTCATGTGAGTGGAATAATGTTTAATAGCCTGTAGGTAATATTAATTATTAATATTAATATTAATTAATATTATTACGTTCATTAATGCTGTTGTAAGCTACTGTCATTACCGTCTGTCCTGCATCTCTCTCTCTCTCTCTCTCTCTCTCTCCCTCTCTCTCTCTCTCTCTCTCTGTCTGTCTCTCTCTCTCTCTTTGGCTGCCTTTACACTACCATGTCTTCATGCCCAATTCCGATTGGTTGCCTATATCCGATTTTTCCTGACTGCTGTTTACATTTTCTATAGAAGTGAGCCATATCTGATATCTGTATTTACATCTCCTTTGCTTGTGTCACCGGTCTGGCTTGCGTGAAACAACCCGCATGCGCAGACGCAGTTTGGCCAACAAAGCGGAAGAGGAAATTGGCGGTCGAGTTGTAAACAAAGATGGACGCCGAGGAAATAGACGTATGTTGTCAAGCACTGTTTTTCCAACGCACTTTCAAAAGTGCACAGAACATTTGCGGCATTTTAAGGCGGAGGAGAAAGAAGAGAGCAGTTATTAAGGCCTGGGCATATGCTGCAGTTATCGCTGCCACGTCGGTTCAGCGCAACGTGTGGGCACTGGAAAGGACTCAAGATTGGTGGGATCGTGTTGTGGTAAACTGGAACCAGGAAGAATGGGTCAGCAACTTTCACATGCGGAGATAAACGTTTAACATGTTGTGTGAGCGGCTGTCGCCAAGGCTCTCCTACAAGGATACAAAATTTCGCCAGGCAATCCCAGTGCAGAAGCGTGTAGGAGTCGGACTATGGTGGTTTGCTACAGGGACTGGTTATCTGGGCTATCGATGGAAGCCATATCCCCATCATTGCTCCTGCTGAAAACCACACAGATTACTTCAACCGAAAGGGATGGCATTCCATGCTGCTGCAAGCAGTGGTCGACCACAGATTTTGGTAAGGACAGATAGACTGATTTATATTTTTATGACTATTGTTTTTCTCAATTACTTAGGCTTGATTATCGATTGTAACTTAAATTAAAAAAAACAAAAAAACATTACATATATTTCAGGGAAGATCAAATGCAGTGTAATAAACCTCAAATGTAATCATAATTACCTAAATATAGGTGCAGCTATGATGTACATGCATTCTATCGTATTATCACATCTGTGTCCTCATCCTGGTCACAGACTTCTACAACACAACCATGTAAACTGTTAAAACATGTTCTTATAATATTATATAATAAACTCATACCACTATTGTAATATTAGCCTCTTAAACAATGTATTCCAATAGCTCATGGGCTGATTGTCATTAAGGTGTACCTATTAGTGTCATGTGGAATCATTATTTTTATATTGCTACATCTGCATGTATATAAGCCCAGGCACAACAGATGGAAATTAGCATTGCACTATATCTGGTGCAATATATTTATTGTACACTGTCCCTGCTTTACATAAACTAATATATGAAATGATTAAAAAATGAGACTTTTCAAGGATTTCATTCTTTATATTGGCCTACTTAATGTCTCTGTTTCTATCACTGTCTATACTCCACTGATTATTTTTGTCATTACTAATAAGCAATTTTTTCTTCATAGTTTCACAAACATTAATGTGGGGTGGCCAGGGAATTCAGAAATCTATGACACGGAAGAAAGAGGAGTCCTTTTTCTAGACGTGAGTTTTTTTTTCTCGGACATTCAAACTTGCACATGGGTCTTTTCTGTCCTCATAAATTATGATATACCATAATAACAACTGACTTGTCTGTTGCCATGCATGGTTAAAAAAAGGCCACACTATTTTGCTGTTCTTGGTAAAAATGAGTGTGGCCATTTTGTTCATCCCCACATAGCAACAGGTAGGTCAACATTTGGATATTTGACTAATGACAGATTAGTAGATAGGATTTGATGTTGTCATTCCGTATGTATCATTGATATTAAAGGGATAGTTCAGTTTTTTTTAAGTGGGATTGTATGAGGTACAAATATCCTCTAAATATATTAGCTGCAGTAGACAGCTCTCTGCTCTCCCTCAGTCAGCCACAGCAGCACAGAGAACCTACAAGAACTCCCATCTCAAAATAATACCACAGTTTAAGTGTATGCCATAAATACTTTTTTCAGTGCATTAATTGGTCGGAAAAAAGAAGTTTATCTGGAACTAACCAACTCACGTCACATACTCCTCCGCACATCCTGTGTGCTGAACTCGCCAGCTCCGTGTTGACTCATAGGCGGAGTGATTCAGTGCGCCGCAGAGTTCGCCAGCCCAGAGGAATACGTGACGTGAGTCCGTTAGTTCCAGAAAAAACTGAAAAAATCTTTCCAACCAATTAATGCACTGAAAAAAAAAAAGTATTTATGGCGTATATTTAAACTGTGGTATTATTTTGAGATGGGAGTTCTTAAACATGCTGTGTGGTGTACACTTCCCTGTTTATGGCTGCTTCTGTATCCTGCGCTGCTGTTGCTTACTGAGGGTTAGCTGAGAGCTGTCTACTAGTAATGGCCTCATGAATCATTTTCTTTATTTTCTGAGCCCACTAAATGGTGCTTTTTGTTCAACAAAAGGTTTAAAACACACCGAATTGCCATTCTTTGAGCCTCTCTCTTTAAACCAAAGAGTGCCATCTAGTGGGCTCAGAAAATAAAGAAAATGCTTCATAAGGGCTCATTTGGCCATCACTACTGTCTACTGCAGCTAATATATTTAGAGGGTATTTGTACCTCATACAACCCCACTTCAAAAAAACTGAACTATCACTTTAATGTGCAAGTGTATACAAATCTTTTCTGGATTTGCATATTCAAAATGTGATCACAGTATTTTACTTTAGTATAAGCTGTAATGATATATTTTTCTTTATTTTAATGACCTCAGACCACAGAGGAGATTGGAGGCACAGCAGTGCCCATCATGCTGGTGGGGGATCCAGCATACCCACTTCGGTCATGGCTGATGAAGGGCTACCCAGAGATGGGAAATGTGAATGAAGACCAGCGTTACTTCAACAAGAGATTAAGCAGGGCCAGAATGTCTGTGGACTGTGCCTTCGGGTGTTTAAAAGGTCGATGAAGGTGCCTGGCAAAACGTCTTGATGTAGACATAACACTGGTCCCTACAGTCATCTCTGCTTGCTGCACTTTGCATAACATTTGCGAAAAACACAACGGGGCATACACTGAAGATCCTGATGCAGCTGGGCCTTCTGACGTACCACCAGTGCCTGTTGACCAGTTGGGTGTTGCAGACATCCAACCATTAAGAGTGAGGGAGGCACTGGCCCAACATTTTGCTCAACACCACTGAACTTAGGTGTCTTTAACTTCCCTTTACATAACTAGTAACTAACAAGGGATGTATTGAATTGATGTTAATTGCGCTATTACACATACTATATTCTTTCTTCTTCTGATCTCGGAAAAAATAAATAAAAATAATTGATGATTGATATAATCATTAGTGGCAGCCCTCTGTACAATCGCACTGAAAGTGCCTTGGTAGAGTAATTGTACAGAATGTTTTTGTTATTCTTCCTCCAAGTATGGCTGCCTGTATTACAGCAACAGCTGATATTATTTGTAAGGGATTATTTGCATCCGAAGCATAATAAAAGTCGAGTCAAAATTCTCAATGCTGTGAATATTTATTTCAACTGCAAACAGGCCGACATGTTCACGTTTTCCAACTTGAATATAAACACAATATTTTTGACACATTTTAGTGTCAACATTCTCAATGCTAAATATTAATTTCAGCCCAACATTTTCCAACTGTAATGTTGAACAATAACAAAGAAAACACCTTTAAGTGTTGCCACTTTATCTAAAACACAGTGGCTCTTCTAAACTAGCTGTTATTAAATCAATCAAGTATGTTTGCATATACAGGTGCATCTCAATAAATTAGAATATCTTGAAAAAGTTAAGTAATTTTGTCAGTTATTTTAGAAAATGAAAAATTAAATAGAATATACGTAAATATTTTCAGATACCTCTAAAAAATTTAGATATGGATGTACTTTTTTAAAAATTTCTGAAATAACTGACAAAAAATCCTGAACTTTTTCACTATATTCTAATTTATTGAGATGCACCTGTAGGTACCAGCACTAGTTGCTGCTTTTCTGTACAAAAATAAGTGCAAAAGATCTCTTCCTCAATCTGTAAACTCAGACAATATTTTATTCCTCCTCAATATCTTAAGGCTTTCTGAGGCTAATGAGGTAGTACAAGGAACATAATGTTCATGAACATACTGTAGTGAACATGACATTGATGAATATAAATTTCAAACCAAAAGTTGTACAAGACAATGTTGCTTACCCCTACCTGCAATGTCTACATTAAACAGAAATCATGAAACAATAGTCCACTAAAATGTAGAAAAACTAGAGACTATTCTGAACTGTTCATAGCTGAATATCAAGCAGGTGAAGAAATGGTGGCAGGGGATTACTCTTCCTGAAACAGCTGGGGAGATGCAGATTCCAATGTGGAACTGTCTTGCTGGGCAGAACCTATTGGCTGAGAGCTGATGTGGGCCTAGTGAGTGGATGGAGGCTGAAGGTTGGTGAAGGTTGGTGGAGGTGGGGTATCAATGAGAAGAGGAAGGAGTGGTCTTTCATCCCCGCCAAAGAATGGAGGTTGTGGACAGTGAGGAGGAGCGGATGCGGAATATTCCTGGTAAAAGGAAGGATGAGTGTGGACATCACTTTGGTGAAAACGAGGAGTAGTGCATGTGCGATCCTGGGGAAAGGTAACAGGGTAGGTGTAATCTGGACCAAACCGTGGAGGGTGAACATGATCTGGGTATGAGCTTGACTGGGTGTTGGTGCTTGGGTGAATGGGTGGCTGGTGGGGTTGTCTCCCTGCAAGAAACTGTGTAAACAGGCTCAACATCCTCAATTCATGCTCATGCTGAGCGGCTTGTAGTTTCAACTGAAGTTCAGTATCATTTGCTTGTGAGAGAGACTCTTTAATCTTTTGGCTAAAAACCTCCATTGTGGTTTCCATCTTGTTTCTTCTCTTCTTGTGTGTGTTAGATTCATCTGATCCACTACGCTTCTGTGGGTTTGAGCCAGGTGTTGCTGTTGAGGGCCCTGAATTCACCTCCTCCCTGGTGGTGGGTCTCTCATTGGGTGATGTTTTCCTAGAGGATAAAGGTGGTGTGCCAGGGGCTCATCTGCAGGACAAAATGTTGATTTGTAAAGTTAACCAACAGTGACCGATGAACTAATGAACTATGTCGACTACACACACACACACACACACACACACACACAGCTACATGATTTGTATGATAATGTTAGCACGTCATCAAAATGCGCTGTCGTCGCATTATTCATGACGTGCGACGTGGATTGCCAGGAAATATCCGATCTGTCTGTTTAGATTACAGACCTAATGGCAGATATCTGATTCATATCCGATATATTTCCACATATGAAGGAGGCCTGAATCTGATCTCACAATATCCAATATCATGCGTTTTTTTCCTGTTTACACGTTCATGTTACAGATCTGATCTGTGCCACTTGAGAGGAAAACATCGGAATTGGGTCACTTGAACCATGTAGTGTAAAGTAGGCCTTTCTGTCTCATTGTGTCATACGGATTACTGTTAATTTATCATGTTGATCTGTTCTGTACGACATCTATTGCACGTCTGTCCGTCCTGGAAGAGGGATCCCTCCACAGTTGCTCTTCCTGAGGTTTCTACCATTTTTTCCCCGTTAAAGGGTTTTTTTGAGGAGTTTTCCTGATCCGCTGTGAGGGTCCTAAGGACAGAGGGATGTCGTTTGCTGTAAAGCCCTGTGAGGCAAATTGTGATTTGTGATATTGGGCTTTATAAATAAAACTGATTGACTGACGTAGATTGACAGGTGTGATATGTCTTATTCACTCAGCAGCTGACTTGTTGAATGGTGGCGAGTGGATTTAATAATAGTGATAATAATGATGATGATAATGATAATAATGATAATGATGCTCATCACAGTGACAGTGGCAGGGCTACAGACCGTTTTTTAATTGCGACAAACTTCGGCAAATGACTCAGTAACAATGGTAATACATGGGGGTTACGGCTTTGATCAGCGAATATAATGGGACTTGAGATGTACGCCAAACGCTGGCTCCGTTATGCAGCAGATCCAGCTGTCGCGCTGTCACCAGAATAGGACGTCGCTTTATGTGGCGCTTCAGAGTAAGGCCGTCTCACAGGCACGGCGCCAGGATTTTTTCTCTCCCGGGGCTAAGGAGGAGCTTGACCGATACGTGGGGGTGCTAAGAAAATAATTGATTTTCATGACTTCAGTTACTTTATAAGAAGGTTCTTGTTTTTTCAATAAAAGCAGCTATGATACACAGCACAAGCATGTTCGATATAAAAGTGGTTTTAACTGAATTTGGCCAAAGAATGTCCAACAAAATAGTTAAGCCTAATACAAGTTAGCACAAGGCAATGGCAAAAATGTTTCACGTGCAAAGGTGACAGATTCAGCACAGGACAGCACCCATGCGCCTGCCAATAACCAGACAATACATCCAAAATGTGACAGCAAGTGCATTTATTCCATATGCATTATTAATATGAATATTCCAACCATTTGTAATCCTCATACCATCTACAATTTTTTCTTGATCACAAAACGATCCATTGCAACGGACTGTAGGCTAGCTAGCCTTAGCCTAACGCGCGAGTATAAACAAAGGACTCCCCTTGCCCCTCCCCTCCTCTCCCCTCTCACTCACACACACACACACACACACACACACACACACACAAACATGCAAGCGACGAGGATTGCATTGGAACAGAATGGCTACTTGTGAACTTTTTAATGTTTTTTAACTTAAAAATATATATTATAAAATATAAAATAAAATGCTTGAGGGGCTTAACTGGGGCTACACAGATTTTTGACGGGGCTATAGCACCCCCTAGCCCCGGTGTAGCGCCGTCCCTGCCGTCTCATGTCTCTTAATCAGCAGTCCTCGCTCCTCACTCCTAACTCCTGACTCCTTGCATGTTTTCCTAAGTGGGAGGGACTAAACAGTTAGATAAGGTGGTTAGCAGTAATTTTAAGAGACTTGGTATGCAGCCCACGTCCGACTTCATCCCGACTTGCTCTGACGTATTACAAAAGTGGACAGTGATAAAACCGCGAGAGTGAGGCGGCCGCAGTTTTTAGAGCCAGGCACTGCAGTTGCTCTCCACCGACTGCACCGCCTGGCTCTCACCTGATCTAACAGCTGATCGGTTCAGTTGTGGACTCAACAATATGACGTTTTAGATAAACTATTCATTTTGTTGAATTTTAGAGATTAAGATTGTATTTGTCTGATTTGAAGGTTTATTCTGTGAACAGGAAAACATGTTGTGTGACTGATGGTGAAGTTTAGTTGTCAGAGACTAAATACATTCATCATAAACTATACAGAGTCTACTGTATATTAACACTGGACTTTTTAAATTATTGAAGTATTTAGCAACACAGAGACTTGTGGTCAGTGGGATGTGAGGATTCTTAAAATAACATCTGTACAGATGTGAAGCCCTGATTGTATCTGACTGAGCCTTAATGAAAGCTGTTGTCTAATATTTTTTTCCTCTGAAAATATGAACCGAAGAACAAACAGCTCGCACACCACAGGGCTCCAATGCTGAAGTAACGTTTCAAGCGTTATGCTCTTCATCAGACCCTCTGAAAATATGAACCTTATAGTCAAACACAGTTTATTCAGCCTGTGTAGTTGAGGGGACAGGTCAAACTGATATGATGCTGATTTGCAGAAAAATTCATGTCAAATGGAGGATTATTATTATAACATTAAACATAACATTATAACATTAACATAAACTACAGATCACCTGTAAAGCATTTAATAAATAATTAAAACAACTGGAGACTGAAATTAAACATATATATGGGTATGATCACTTTTTGAATGAACTGACATCATTCCAGACAGGATGTAAGTGTGTCTGTGACTTCCTGTACGGACTGAAGGCTGCTGGAAACTGTTGGGAAACTGTTTGACTTCACCGCAGCTTTTTGTCACCGCCCCCCGCTGCGGCCGCCTGCTCTTGTCTACTTTCCAGGCGAGGCGCAGTTCATCTCGAACTAACCTAATATATGGCCTTTGTTGTGTCTAAAATGCATGGTCTACCCCTTTCTCCCTGAGGTTGATGTTATATTGCGGTAAATTTCGCTCAATGAAAGCAGCTAAACATAACCTTGACATGATAAAGCAGTGACTAATTGTAACGTTAGCTGTGGGTTGGTCTAAATTTAAGGTACATTTAAATTTGAAATGCTTACCCAAACTTTAAGACGAGTTCCCCCCATTTTGTTGCTGCAGACATGTTTCAACAAAGCCAAAGCCAATGTCAGAGTGAAATCCGAAAGTACCATTACCCCTCCCCCCACACTAATGTTGCAAACGCTAATGTTAGCTTGTTTAATACCTCGGTTTAAGCCACTATCATTTAATGCAGATTTGAAAAGATGAGCAGACCTATGTTCTATGAATTTTCAGATCCAAACCACGAAACGTTACCGTGCACACACATCCATAGACATAAACACATACAGGGAAATTTAAGGACTAACATTAGCATAGCCAGCTA